TGTGTGTGTGTGTGTGTATTTATATATTTATAATATAATAGTTAGTATATATTTTCTATTTCATGCAAAGTAAACAATAATTTCGGTTTATATGTCTGCTCACTACCTTCATTGATATCTTCATTTTTAGGCAAAATCTTGTTTTCACTGCTTATGTAATCACCATATTCAAGCAAGGTTTTATCATTGCCTTTTACAGAGCTATGAATTTGATTTTCAACTAAGCACAAAACATCTAATTAGACATATAATTAATACACATATTAATATATCATATCTATTTTATAACATAGAGAAATTTATACAAAGTGTCCGACTCGTACCATATCAGAGCTAATATATAGCTAAAATAGGTCGGAGTAAGTAATGGAATCAGTGCCATTTTTTAAATAACCACATGAAATTTTGAGATATCAACGACGAAAAATTTCTACCGAGTGGCAGTCTACTGGCCAATCAATATGCGCGCTGCGGTGACATGAACGCTATATACGCTGTCGCACGAACATCATAGGCTAACCTCCTAACAACGAATGTGGGCTCGAAATCGCATCACTAATCGTCCTCCGCTCAGCGTGGTTTATTCTTTTTCGGCCATTTTCCTCGTTGCTAGAAAGTTAATCCGGCTAGCCTCTTATGCCCATGCGACAGCGCATGTAGCATTCGTTTTACCATAACACACTGATTGACCAATGAGTTGACTGCCGTTCGGTAGAAATCTTTCGTCGTTAATATCTCAAAATTTCACGTGGATGTTTAAAAAAAGGCACCGATCCCATCACTCACCTATTCTAGCTATATATCAGTTCTGGTACTATATGAGTTAGACACTCTATCTATATACAGTTTGTATCTATATACAGGGTGTCCCAGATCACCTTCACAATCTCTCGTGAGGACGTAAAGCGGATTGAGATGAATACAAAAGTCCCATACCGTTTTGCGATATTCTCAATAATAACCAGGAAATTAATTGTAAAAAATTAAGAAAAAACGCATGCTGAATGGTTGAAGGAGCGCTCGCGACCCAGTAATATAGCAAGCGGATGTCAGCGCGCGATGATTGGTAGATCAACGCGCCACTGTTTATATTTGTATCGCTGCGATCTTATGTCTTGCCGCACCGCGCCGAGGCGAGATGTAGGAGTGTAGCGATATAAGCATAAGCAGTAGTATGTTTTTCCAATTACTGCGCGCCGACATCCGCGTGCTATATTATTGGATTCACGCTGCGGCTCGAGCGCTCTTCCTTCGACTATTTAGCGCCCATTTTTCATCTTAATTTTTCACAATTAATTTCTCGACTATCATTACGAATATCGCAAAACGGTATAGGACTTTTGTGTTCATCTCAATCCTTTCTACGATTTCACGAGAGATTGTGAAGATAATTTTGGATACCCTGTATATATAAGAATATTACATTTTAATCGTCCCAGGCTATCTCAGATACATTGCATTTTAGAAAAAAATGTTTTAGACGAAAATTGTAAGGTTTAAAAGGTTGTATTTAATGGTAATATTTATTTGATTTTAAGTGGCGTTACCAAGATCAAAGTCACATTGATTTTTTTAAATGAAATCCCCTATTTTTTATTGCGTATTTTTGTAGCTTATCTCGAGAATTCTCCAAAATACTATAACAACATATTTCTCATTAAGTACTTTTTGAGTAAAATTTAAAAGTTATAGTAGCGCCGGCATTAACATTACCCAAGATATACCACGCGAAAGTTGCTTAATCGGATTTACGCCTCTTTTGTGTGTGTGTGTATGTGTGTGTGTATGTGTGTGTGTGTGTGTGTGTGCGTGCGTGCGTGCATGCGTATATGCGTGCGTGTGCATGGATGGATGCATAAGTAATTGGGTCGATGTTTACTCCCATTCACATACACAGGCACGCACACGCATACACACACACGAAAGAGGTGTAAATCCGACCGAACAACTTCCATGTAATACACCATGGGTAATACTAATGCCGGCGATACTATAATTTTCATTACTCAAAAAGTACTTTAAAAATAAAACACGTTATTATAGTGTTTTGGAAAACTCTCGAAATAAGCTACAAGAATATGCAATAAAAAATAGGAGATTCCATTTAAAAAAGCAATGTGATCTTGATCTAACTATGGTAACGTCACTCAATGGATATTACTATTAAATGCAACCTTTTAAACCTTATAACTTTCATCTAAAGCATTTTTTTCTAAAATGCAGTTTCTGAGATATTAGCCTGATGCCCAATTTCTTCACCTCTGGTTAACTTTATTTGTCAGTGATTTTATTGGAATTGACCAATCATATTTATGGTGGCAAAAATTAACCAATCACGGTTGACATTTAACCAACAGATAAAGTTAACCGGAAGTGAGGAAATTGGACATGAGGCGATTAAAATAAAACACTCTTATATACAGGGCGTTCGGGAAAGATCGAAAAAACCCCCTGAATAACTTTAAGAAATTTAATTTTAGAGAAAAATGTTTCAGATAAAAGTTGTAAGGTTTAAAGAGATTTATTTACGGGTTTTATCAGTTTAATCTTCGGTGGCGTTTCCAAAGTGAATTCAAGGTCAAATCGATTTTTTTAAATGGAATACCCTATTTTTGATTCCAGAATATCTAATATCTCGTGTTAAGAGCTTTTCAAAACACTATAAGTTTATTTTCGTTAAGTACTTTTTCGTGTTATGAAGCTTAAAAGTTATAACACGCAAGTGCACAAGTGCGTGCGTGCATACACATACATAAACACAAAAGAGGTGTAAATCCGAACACCTTCACTCGTTACACCTTGAACAATGTTAATGCCGGTGGTATTGTAACTTTTAAGCTTCATAACTCGAAAAAGTACTTAACGAAAATAAACTTTATCATAATGTTTTGAAAACACGAGATATTAGATTCTGGAATCAAAAATAGGATGTTCCATTTAAAAAAATCGATTTGACCTTGAATTCACCTTGGGGATGCCACCGAAGGTCAAACTAATAAAACGCGTAAATAAATCTCTTTAAACCTTACAATCTTTGTCTGAAATATTTTTCTCTAAAATTAAATCCCTTCAAATTATTCAAGGGATCCGATCTTTCTCGGGGACACACACACACACACACACACACACACTATATATATATATATATATATATATAATCCTAGTATATCATAATACTCACCATTTCTATGTTCAAAATCCTCTTTGGTGTTCGCTAAATTCCGATTACGGAGATATTCATCGAAGACCCATTTTCCTTCTGAGATCATGTTCTTTTGACTAGAATCTGCAGATTGTTCTGGACCAACAATGTTAGATTTTACGTCATTAAAGAATTCGTTAGATTTTATGGGAACACTGCCAGAGCTATCATCGTACACTAAATTATCATTTTTATTACTATGTACAATTGATTTTGCATTAAGCTGAATATCTGCAGCATTATGATTTAATGAATTGTCAATAATTACTATTTCTTCTTTGACAACTGGCAATGCTTCTTTTCTGGCATTTTCGAGCGTATCTTCAACTGACAATAAATTATTAATTTCTGGAATCTCATCAACAACTGCAACATTATTCACTTGAATGATACTTTCTTTGTGAATGTCTTTTTTTACATTTTCTAAATATGCTTTATCACTTTCCGGTGATGTCTGCTCAATATTACTTTGAGTGCTAGTACTTGTTATGATTGTAGTTTCTTTCACATCAGATGAAACCACTGATTCTTCTACAAAAGAAACGGTTGCACTTTCAATCTTAATATTTTCCATAATTTTCTTGCCCTTACTTGTTTCCTGTATTTTGATATTTTCCGTGTTACTATCAACTTCTTTAGAAACAGAGCTATTATTCATTAAAACTGAAGATTCCATTGACGTATCTTGGGCAGGCTTATAAGCATCATCATGTACAAAATTACTGGATAAAGGCACGTCACGAGATGCAGCATTTTCCAAACTAACTGTGATTGTTTCTTTCTCTGGCTTTATCTCATTTGAAAATTTTGTCTGAATATTCTCGTCTATAATTTCTTGTATTTTTACATCATTTTTATTCATAATGCTTGAATCTATGCACAATAATGTTTCAGTGGCTGGAATATTTTCTTTATCTACAGCTTTATTCTCAGTGTTAATTTCAAAAGTAGACAAATCATTGTCATTTAGACTAGTGGTTTCCGTTGTTGCAGTTTCTAGGGAATTGGATAAAATATTAAATTTTCTTGCAAATGAGGCAAATATGCTTTCATTTTCAATATTTTCAGCAGCTTCTTCTTTCTTATATTCTATATTCTTCTTAACATTATTATCCACTAATTTATCTTCATTCTCTAGATCTTTAGATAGTTCCTCTGTAGATTTACTGCTTACATCATGTAATAAAACATCATCTTTTCCTACTGTACCTGCAGTTGGATTGATTATTGCTTCTACATTCTTTAATAGTGTTTTGGTATTAGTTTCTTCAGGAATATCTACCAATATTTCTTTATTATTAAAGTCATTTGTATCATGTCGTACTTCTCTTTTGTTAATAAGTCTAGTCCTGTCGTCATTGTTGCCAGAATCTATTTTGGAATTGGTACGAGAAAGTGAAACTTGTTCATTTGGCAATGCAGTAGCATGCATAGCCTCAGATGCAAACTTTTGCTGTATAGATGGTTTACTCTCAAAATAAAATGTAGTACCATCTATCACTTCATAAGAAGGCAAAATACTATCTACATTAGTTGTTTCAGTTTCCAGTACAGTTTTATCTACTGATTGTGCCGACAATAATGGCATCTCATTGTCATCATTAAATAAGTTATTTTTTATAAAAGAATGCACTTCATGTATTTTTTCTGTAGATTCAAGTTTCTCAGATTTAACATTTTCTCCCTGTATATTTTTATCTAAAGACTTTACTGAAGAAGACATCTCATTGTCATCATGCAGCAACTTGTCTTTCAAAAGATATACTTCGTGTACTTTTTCAGTTCTTATTTGAACTTCATCTTTGACTTCATCAGTAAACTTGTAAACAGGCACTTCATACGACAAGATACGTTGTAGGATTTTGTATTCATTTAAAAATGTTTTAGGTGCAAATCCACGTTTGCCATTTATCTGAAAAAAAAAAAAGAAATTTAAAACATATGGAAATGATGTTCTCAGGATAAAACCAGAAACACCAGCTTAAATCATGATGGTAAATATTAACTGAAAGTAAATATATAAAAATGTTAATCATGATAAGTTTAATAATATTCAACATAGAAGATAATAAATTGTACCTCGACACCCCATAAATCAGTCCTCTTTCCAGCTCCTTTGCTGAAAACTTTGACATCTTCATTAATGCCAAATGACATGACCTCACGGTCATTTGCTACGTAAGCTAGTATCGTCTTTGCCAAGGATATCACTTCTAAATAGGAAAAAAGCAGTGTAATGCAAATACATGTGTAAGTGTGTAGACGGCAAAAATACGTTATGGATTTTAAAGCTAAGATATGGCTTCAATTACCCGAGCAATTGGGGTCGTAACATAATTGTTTGTCGGACAGTGCGGCTAAGCATTGCGGTATTGCACAAAATACTATTGCAACGAATAAAAATAATATATTCGTAAACAGACTTATTTTCGTCATATTTTTACTATTGCAAACTTCCACATCACTACCGATCACTACGAGCACACTGACACTGCTTTGGCTGCGTTCCTTTTGGGCACTCAGAAGCGTTTATAAGCGTCGCTCTATCTTTCTTCTGCATCTAATGACCGATAAAGATAGAATGACGCTTACCAGAGAGAATCTAGACAGAGTGGAGCGGATCGTGTTCTCATCTCTGATTGGTGCCGCCATTAATTGGGCAACTTCCGCAAATGTGATATATACCTGTGGCTTGTTCTTTATAGCTGCACTGCTGAACTAGTGCAATAAGTTAGAATGAGAAAACGTATATTTCTCTCACTTTAATATATTGCACCAGTTTAGCAGTGAAGCTACAAAGAACAGGCCTAAAGGCCAAATCACACTAGCGATTGGTAATTAACGATTGACAATTAAAGATTAGATTTTAACGAATCAACAAGTTTCAATCTTGGCTTGCTTTGTTCCAATTGGTCAAGTTCCAATCTTCAATCGTCAATTATCTATCGCCAATCGTTATGGCTCCTGCACACAGGATGCGGTAATAATTGCCGTGCGACGGAAGTCCGCGCGACAGCCAATCAATATGTTGTTTTTCCGTAAGAGCTAGAAAGTTATTATGGAAAGTAACTTATTGATTAGCTGTCGCGCGAACTTCCGCCGCGCGGCAAGCATTACCGTGTCCTATGTGCAAAAGCCATTAGTGTGATTTGGCCTTTAAAGCCCGTATCAGAACACGAATTGAGATTGAGATTAAATTGAAAATTGAGCCAAACTTAAGCTTAGTGAATTTTGCTCTGATTGGCTAAATTTCAATTCAATCTCAATCCTAATCTATAGTCTGATACGGGCTTTATATGATCTCATATGTGTTCGTAGTACTTGTACTCTTTGCACGTTTAGCACTTTTAATAAGACGGACGGGTAAGAGAACAAAATCCATAAAAAAAAGAATAACGTTGACAACGTTCAAAAGTTCTTAGGATCCATAAATTCATTTCTTAAGGTTAATATCATTGTTGGACGAGAAAGTATACAACAGAGGTGTAGAGTTGTGACAGGTTAGGGCCAGCGCACGAACATTGCCGTAGTTCCTTACGCCACCTTACGTGATAATCTTACGTTACGTGAGACGTAAAGGTACCTTTACATGGGAACATCGAGCGTCGAGCGTTAAAGCGGTAGCCAATCAACGTGCCACTTTCCGCAAGAATTACAAGTATACTTCTAGGACCTGATACGTTGATTGGCTAACGCTTTAACGCTCGACGCTGGAACGCTCCCATGTATTGGCACCTTTAGCTGAACGTACGGCAACGCACAAAAATTTTACATTAAGGCTCGTCTACAATAGCTGTAAGAATATGGCTGTAATGGCTCCTGCACACAGGACGCGGCAACGCTTGCCGCGCGACGGAAGTTCGCGCAATAGCCAATCAATATGTTGTTTTTCCGTAAGAACTAGAAGGTTATTATGGAAAGCAGCATATTGATTGGTTGTTATGTGAACTTCCGTCGCGCGGCAAGCATTACCGCGTCCTGTGTGCACGAGCCATAAGGGTGCGATTACATGAGCGTATGGAAATACGGAAATGCGGAAATACGGAAGACAAGTTACTAGGACTTAACTAGATTTACGCATTTCCGCGCTTTTGTTCCTTAGCTTTATTTCTCCTAAATATTATATGGAGCATATTTTATACGGAAAAGCAGAATGAGAAATTATAAAACATTAATTGTAAACGATATTTATTGATTAAAATGTTTTTATTAAACGGATAAGTTGAAAAAAGAAGCGTATTAATAAAAATTGCAATGAAGAAAGTAAATATAATTTTTTAAAATGTATACAAATATTTATTTATCACTATACCGTTCCGCATTTTCCGAACTTCCGTCGCGCGGCAAGCATTACCGCGTCCTGTGTGCACGAGCCATAAGGGTGCGATTACATGAGCGTACGGAAATACGGAAATGCGGAAATACGGAAGACAAAGTTACTAGGACTTAACTAGATTTACGCATTTCCGCGCTTTTGTTCCGTAGCTTTATTTCTCCTAAATATTACATGGAGCATATTTTATACGGAAAAGCAGAATGAGAAATTATAAAACATTAATTGTAAACGATATTTATTGATTAAAATGTTTTTATTAAACGGATAAGTTGAAAAAAGAAGCGTATTAATAAAAATTGCAATGAAGAAAGTAAATATAATTTTTTAAAATGTATACAAATATTTATTTATCACTATACCGTTCCGCATTTTCCGAACTTCCGTCGCGCGGCAAGCATTACCGCGTCCTGTGTGCACGAGCCATAAGGGTGCGATTACATGAGCGTACGGAAATACGGAAATGCGGAAATACGGAAGACAAAGTTACTAGGACTTAACTAGATTTACGCATTTCCGCGCTTTTGTTCCGTAGCTTTATTTCTCCTAAATATTACATGGAGCATATTTTATACGGAAAAGCAGAATGAGAAATTATAAAACATTAATTGTAAACGATATTTATTGATTAAAATGTTTTTATTAAACGGATAAGTTGAAAAAAGAAGCGTATTAATAAAAATTGCAATGAAGGAAGTAAATATAATTTTTTAAAATGTATACAAATATTTATTTATCACTATACCGTTCCGCATTTCCGCACAAATTGTGCGGAATATTTAGAACAACCAAATCAACGGAACGCGTTTACTCCGTTATATATACTCCTTGTGTGAGCGCATACACAAATCTGTGAAAAAAGATTTAAAAGCTGTAAAGTTTGGCTTATTACGTTTGATTGCCACGTTTTTGCTTGCTGCAAATATGATTTTAAATTATATATTAATGGCTATGATCACACTGGTAATACGAGCACGAAAGCAACTAAAGAGGTATACGGAAATAACGATGAAAAAAGTTACAAAATTATTTTATATCTACAATTGTTACAAAAAATTAGAAGACAGACGAAATCGCAGAATGTGGATAAGACCCATATTTTCTGAACAACGAAGATTGTTACAAGGAGCCAGTGATAATTTAATCGTTGAAATGCTATTGTTTGACAACGAAAAATATTTTAACTATCTGCGAATGTCACCTGTTCACAATGTTCGATGAATTACTGACAATCGTTGGACTTCACATCGAAAAAAACAAAGAGTAGTTCGTAATCCAATAAGTGCTCGAATAAGATTGCAGGTGACTTTACGATGGTTGGCTTCGGGTGACAGTATGGTATCACTATCTTATGCTTTTTGTTTGTTCCGTACTTCCGCATAAAATCCGCGCAAAAGCAGAACGAAACCGCACGGATCCATTTTGTTACCAGTTACATTTCCGCATTTACGCATTTCCGTGTTCCGTACGCTCATGTAATTGCACCCTAATGGCTCCTGCACACAGGACGCGGTAATTGCCACGGCGGAAGTCCGCGCGACAGCCAATCAATATGTTGTTTTTCCGTAAGAGCTAGAAGGTTATTATGGAAAGCAGCATATTGATTGGCTGTCGCGCGGACTTCCGCCGTGGCAATTACCGCGTCCTGTGTGCAGGAGCCATAAGGCTGTAACGTGAGCTGTCAGCGAATGAAAATAATTCATTTCGCGCCTTACAGCCTTAAGGTGCCAATATATGGGAGCGTTCCAGCGTTGAGCGTTAAAGCGTTAGCCAATCAACGTATCAGGTCCCAGAAGTATACTTGTAGTTCTTGCGGAAAGTGGCACGTTGATTGGCTACCGCTTTAACGCTCGACACTCGATGCTTTCATAGAATATGTAAAGTAAGAATATATAAAGTCACCTTTACATATTCTTACTTTTGACTATATAACCATGGACCGCTAGCCGCTATCTTATGTCTGCAGCAAAACGAACAAATTTTTTTTACAGCCAAATGTTCATGCAATATCGTTTGTATGCAATTCATACCAACACCCAGGGATGCCTGAATCTCACGGTATGTCACATGTCGATCTTGCATTATCAATTCACGCACAGCATCGATGTTTTCCGGCAGCAGCTGATTTTGGACGACCTTCGCGAGGTTCGTCGGTGAGCGAACTACGACCACGATTGAATTCATTAAACCAGCGACAAATAGTGGCCTTGTGTGGTGCTTCATTGCCAAAAGTGGAAGCAAGTTGATCGATGCATTCTTGTCTCGATAATCCACGTCGAAAGTCGTAAAAAATCATCGCACGAAAGTGTTCTCGTGTTAATTCCATTTTTTCGCTGAGACACAATTTTCAAGTCACTGTAAACAATACAAGTAGCCTCCGTACGACAAAACGTTTCGAGTAAAAAAATCTTCCAAACTGTCAAACTTTTTTATGGTAAGGTTAGATTTTACCTAGCAACACCAGTGTTGCCAAGTCGCAAAACTTACGGAGCAGCCCTCGTAACACGCGACAGAACATTGCGAAATAATACCGGCCACGTCCCGCCAACCGCGCTCGCAGCTGATCCCGCGACAACGACATAGGCTCCCGACGAGAGCAAAAACGCAACCACACGCCAGCGGCGTAACTTCGTTAATATAAAATGTTTATATAAAATTCCATTTTGCAACACAAAAGCATCCCAATGATTCCAATAGACTTATGCAGAAATGCTTCTAGATAAAATTTCCTTCCTTACAGGAGGTCTACCACTTTCTTTTCCCTTTAAAAAAATAGAAATATCTGGATCTTCTAATTACTCTTGACGCCAATCTTCAGATAAATTTTTTTCTAAAGTTATTCTTGCTATCAAATTTTCTTTTTGAATATCTAAAAATTCCATTCGAGAACAATATTTACAACCTATTTCAGCACAAGGACGTCTGGACAATTCGTCAGCATTTTTATAAGATTTTCCATTTTGGTGACTAATATCAAAATCATACCGTTGTAATCTCTCTAACCAACGAGCCAATTGTCCTTCTAATTCCCTAAAAGACATTAACCATTTTAATGAAACATGATCCGTTTGTATTAAAAATTTTTGTCCAAACAAATAATGATGAAAAAATTTTACAGAATTTACAATGGCCAATAATTCCCGACGAGTAACACAATAATTTCTTTTCGACTTACTCAAAACACAACTGTAATACGCAATTACTTTCTCAGTTCCACACTGAACTTG